ACGTAGGTTTCCTACGGTGGGTGTGAGTAGAGTGGGAGGCTGCCCACCCCCAAAACCCCCCACGAAGGGGGGTAGGGAGGGGGAATTCTGGGAGTTGAAGCCCACACATCTTCAAGTTGCCAAAGTTGAGGAACCCTGCTGTACACAATTTAAGAAGATCCATCAATTTCCTCAGAGTATTGGGAATCTATTTTTACTGATGAAAAACCCAAGATATTCTCACAGCCTAATTTTCTACGTTGGCACAAAGAAAAAGAGATTATATGCTACTACATGTAACCCACCTCTTGTAAATTGCCCTGAGCATCTTGTAGCGTATAGCTATTTTCCCAAGAAAAGATTATTTTAAAACCACATATAAAATGTTGGCACCTTTAAAAGAAAACATACAACCATAATTCCAGAATCTAAAATACTAGTTCAAATATAGTTCACTGATAAAGATGTAACAAATTTTGAATATGGAATTAGCAAACCACTGCTAGATCGGCACAACCCCCCCATCCCCCCATATTTTGTTACAAGACAAATGATAAAATCCAGTGGAAGGTTCACCTAATTATGACAATTTCTGTAGAAGCGCCAAACTTCTAAATTAATCCTTATGGAAGATATATCGTGTCTAAAGTGCTATTCAGGGGTCTAAATATTGAATATAGTAATATTACAATCACAGTAATGCACAAGAATGCAGTAATATTGGAATGACTTGCATTTCTTCTACGTTACCAAAGGCTGTTTACCTAAATACTAATTTCATCCAACCACTTCATGGCTTCCTGTCTCCAAAACTTAATCTACTTGATCCAGGAGCTTAAAGAATTGTTTAAAAACGTATTTTTTTAAACACACACACAAATACTGTAAAAGACCTTTTACAGAAAACATATAACTGGAGAAGGAAAGAAAATAAAAGAAAGGAATAAAGGGGTAGGAACAAATGAGTAAACAAGGGATTTACAAATGTCATAGAGATTAGAATTTTCCAGTATATCATTAATAGATTGTGAATGACAGAATATGTTATATTGTTTTAAAAGCTGGAAAATCGCTGTTAAGCTCTAAGCAAGGCATAGGTATCAGAAGTCATGGTCAGCACACCATAAATCATAACATGAAACTATGAATGGCAATACATTCTGACCATAACAATACAGAACTCCTAGAAAATTAAAGTATAGAGCTTATGCAAAGAGAAACATAAATTTTGGATGTGGTACAAATCCATATATGGGGGGAGATGGGCGGGTGAGAAATTTAATAAATTAAAAAAATAAATAAATAAACAGTAATCTAGGGATGAATTTAAAAGTAAAGCTTCAAACTTACCTTTTTGTCATTTCACCAGCCTTGGCTGCAACCACCACTTCAATATAGTGATGTCCATCTCCAATACACAGAATCGTTTCTGGGCCCTGCTCAGCATCCTGGTGAACCTTCGGCTCATTCAAAACCTGGGGGGGAAGGCAAAAAATTACACCACAACCAACATATTGGGAAACCAAGTTTACTGGATGACTTGGGCCCATCATTCTTCATCAGCGTAAAGCAGAGATGGGCAGAGTGATATCGTGGACAATATATCGGCAGAAAGTTCCCTGGGCTGCCTACTGGGTTCTTCCACCTGTCTGTCTGTCTTAGTTTAAAACAGAAAAAAATATATTGGAAGCTGGCAAAGAATAAAGGAATGAAGAAATCTTGTAATCGTAATAACGAGGATGCCCTGTGGGCTCCATAAGAATTCTTAAAAGACGAAAATGATAGCTCAGCGCAACCCAGAGTTTTGTTTAGAAGCATTGCTGTTATTTCAGAACAAAAGGAACATCAGTGCTAGGAGGGAACACCATGGATGTTTTTCAACTTCAGCAACTTTAAGATGTGGGGAGTTCAACTCCCAGAATTCCCCAGACAGCTGAGGTTGAGAAACCCTGCTCTAGAGGAAGCAGCAGGAAATAAGATGCCAGTTTACCTTTGGTAAACAGGTATCGTATTCTGCAATTAGCCAGGCCAACGACTGCAGTCATTTTATAATTAAGAAAGTTCCCTTATACAATTTTTGTGATTGTATGCAAGATACACTCTCAACATTCCAAATGTGCTCACAATCTTAAAAAGCTGCCTATAACTGCTCTAGACTATCTCTAGTCTAGTGTTTCTCAACCTTGGCAACTTTAAGATGTGTGGACTCCAACTCCCAGAATTCCCCAGCAGGCTCCCAAGAATTCCCAAGTCTCCAACTCCCAGAATTCCCCACACATCTTAAAGTTGCCAAGGTTGAGAAACACTGCTGTAGTCTGCAGCAAAGTAAAAACCAACCAACCAACCAAGGATGTGAAGGTCTGCATTCCTAGCCTTGAGTAAGTGGAAGGAAGGACAACATAAATCAAATAAAAAAGTCTGAAAGTTCACCTTCAGGACATGTCCAATCTGTCCATCTGTTTTGGTTACGGATTCGTTGTACTCCAGCAGAAGAGTCACAATCCAAGGCTCCAAATAGTTAGGTCTATTCCTGCTGGCCAGACTGTCCTCCGTGTCTAAACTGGGAAAAAATGATAGCAAAGTCAAAAAGCTTCTGAAAAAATGGTGGGAAAGCAGCACTGATTCAACTCAGCATCATCTGGAGAGGGTTGCCACACAGTACTGGCAAGAATGATGCATCGTTCTAAGCAAAAAACAGTGCCTTAGCATGAGATGTGAACCTGTTGTTGTTGTTGTTATTATTATTATTAGTAGTAGTAGTAGTAGTAGTAGTATTATACACAACAATGTGAAATCACAGCTGCCAGTTCTTTAGCTGGCGTTGGCCTTCATTTGCGTCGAGCTCTTCCCAAGAACCTAGAATGTTGTAATGTATCAGTGTAGTATATGTGCAGATCCAAGCAGCGTGGCCTTTCGTAATTGACAGATGGGAATTTTGTCAATGCACAGATTTTCTAAGTGTCGTCCAAGACTTTTTGGTATGACACCCAGTGCGCCGATAACCACTGGGACCACCACTGCCGGCTTATGCCATAATCTTATTGCTGGTTTATGCCATACTAATAATAAATAATAATAATAGTAGTAATAATAGATAAGAAAGACAAAAAAGTCTGGATAGCGGACATGGCAATACTTAGAGACAGCAGAAGAGAAGAGAAAGAACCGGAGAAAATCACAGAATACAAAGACCTGCAAAGAGAAGCAGAACAACTGTGCAAAAGAAAGCAAAGGTAGTACCAATAGTCATAGGTGCCTTGGGTGCAATCCCAAAACATCTGGAGCACCACCTGAAGACCATCGGCATTGACAAAATCACCAGCAGTCAATGGCAAAAGGCAGCTTTACTTGGAACAGCTGACATCTTGCGACGATACCTTCAACGCCATCAAACAACATCTGCCTATCCCAGGTCCTTGGGAAGGACTCAATAGGTGGATAAAAATGCCAGATCCAGTCTAAACATCTGGCTGACTGTGCGACCGATGATGATGATGATGATGATGATGATGATGATGATGATGATGATGATGATAATAGTAATAATAGGATTCAAATCAGTTTTGACTCCTGGCAACGGTCTGGATTAGTCCCTACAGTTTTCTTCTTTGGAAGTGCTTTGCTGTTGCCTCCTTCCTAGGGCTGAGAGAGAGGGACTGGCCCAAAGTCACCCAGCTGGCTTCCATTCCTTAAGGCAGGACTAGAATTCACAGCCTCCCAGTTTCTAGCCTGGTACCTTAACCACTTCCCCAAAGTGGCTCTCTCCTTAATCCACTATATGAATCTAGCCATCTAACAAACCATAGTCCCTTCATTAGGATGAGCAGTATATCAATCCTGCCATTCTCCTCATTCGAACCATGGCTATGCCTAGTAGTTCCTGTTTCCGAATACAGACAACCTGCAGCATCCTGATTTCTTGCTTGTGCTGTAAGCCAGACAAGGAGGAGCTTGCATTCAACCAAGATCTGCCTAGAAGACTTGCAGAGACTTGCCCAAGGAAACACAGGATATCCAGGGTCCTTCCCGCATGGGTGAAGGCAGCCCTAGAAACTCCCTTTCAACAGCTGGGCTTACAACACTACTTATTCTTCCTCCCCTCTTAAAAACAAACATCTTGTACAATAACGAGCAAAACCGATGTTTATGACACCTGATGAGGTCATAATACACTAAATAATGAGCCGAGCAAGAAGAGGCAGATTTCCTAATAAAACGGGGAACTGGGCTTTGAACCACCAAAAGGCGTCCCAGAGCTGGAATCATACCTTATTCCCGTTTGGTACGAGACCCTCTGACCTGAACCCAGCTCCCCAGTCGCCAGCCTTTCCCTCGGGGGTCCACCAGCGCCTCTCGGGCGCCTCGCCCACACGGCTGGCCGCGGAACCGTCCGCCGCGGCGACCCCACAGGGTCCGACGGAAGCCGTCCGGACTTGGCAGAGCAACCGCGCGAG